GGTTCCTGTGAACGATATCAAAAAGTAGTCACCTGATAAAATATCGCTGATAGCATGATAAATGTTTTGTTAGTTAACGTTAGTTTTTGATTTCTGTTGCAGAAAAGTATGGTAATCGACTGCTTGAGGAGCATTTTATATCAGAGTGTTTACGGTATGTTACAGTTTTACTACTCAATATTACTGTTTCATGTGTTTCATTATGTCCTTAAAGGTGGGGGGACAGGAGATTTTTCGTAGTTTTTTTGTAGCTAGAGTATGCATTCTACCGTCACGGTGTACAACGCTAAATGTCACTCAGCGTACAGCTGTCGTCCTTGCCTTTATGTATGCAATCGGGCGTTCGCTTTCTCTTTGCCCGCGTGGCTCAGTCGGTAGCGGCGCCGCACCCTCAATCATCGCCCTCACAAGTTCAACTCCTTGAGGGGCATCTTTGAACGAAATTTCGAGAACATTATTTTTTTCATGTCCCCCCACCTTTAAAATTTGGAAATTATAAACATTAGATTGTTACTCTTTGGATGCGGTAAATTTTTTTCAATGAAATCATATAAAATCGACAAAACGACTGAATGTAGAGATGTGAATACTACTACAAAAATGGTTGGAAAATACTGATCCAGAGAAATCAGAAGGTTATTGTATTTATTTTGTACTTATGTACTTTTAGGAAAGTACATGGACTTTTTATCTTTACTTGGCTTCTAATTTTCTTTATCAAAAATCATAGTTTAAAAAAGCTCATCTGTTCGAAAATTTCCAAAGAAAAATTATTCATTGGCTTGACTATTAGAGTTGTCAAACCAAAGAATAAAACAAGTAGGATTTTTAAACAAACCACCAAAGTTGTTCACCACATGGCTAGCTTGTATGGCTACTTTGAAACGGAAAAAATTGTGTATTCTTCAATTAAGCAACTTCTACAACTGATCCTTCTTAGAAACATTGAATGTTCGACGCAACAATTGTTAGTCACAAATGACTGCTGAACATCGACAGTTTTCGAAATCACGAATTAGAAACAGAAAAGGAAAATCATGCAGTTTTTACAATGAATTTCCGTTTCAATGTCCCACTACTTTTTACGGCTTTGAGGTTTTGAGATGTTTAGCATTGGAATCAATAACCTAAAAGTGTATAATTCTTGTCCGTTTCATGATTCATTTGTATGACTGAAGTTTACGTCCACAAACCTTTTATCTCAATTCTCGCTTCTGGCGGAATGATTTTATTTTTGAGTAGCCAATAAACTCACAAGTTTAGAATCCGAGATACAGTTGATATCAAAATTTTGTTTTTTTTTTGGAACAACCCAAAAACTAAAATCTCTCTCTCTCTCTCTCTCTCTCTCTCTCTCTTTTCAAAGTACTCAAGTTCTCGATATCGGGGCTTAATTGAATTCTGTGGATGTAAAGCAGGTGATTTTCGTAGTTGTGCACACTCTAGAAAAAGTGGAATTCTTTTGGTTTGAGAAGGGTGTAATCGATCATTCTCCGCCTTTAAAAAAAGTGGTAATAGAATTCCACTTTACGCGATGATCCTTGGCAACATTTTGAAACAGAAATTTTTTGTAATTGATTCAGATATATATTCATTTGAGAATCTTAATGTTCACAAATTTTGTTTACTCGGGCTTCTTTGAGATTTTAATAAATTTAACAGTTTCATTCAATTGATTTGATCCCAAGTGTTTAAAAATATAACAGTTCGTCAAGCCGTTCCAGTCCATCCAAATCATGAACGATGTGCTTTATCCAGGATTTTGACCCCCCCCCCCTCTCTCTCTCTCTCTCCCCTCTCTTATTTTCTTGAAATTCTAAAAATCGTCTTGACTCGACTCTTTTTCTTCCTTTCTAAATGGTGTGGTGTGTTTCATGAGGTGTGACTAATCCTCGCGTCTTCAATTGGAAGAAATAAAATGGGGAGTGGAAAACTAGAAAACGAGAGTAAGGGTACATTCACTCTACAACACACTTCCGGTGGACCCCTTCATTCCTGGTCCAGGGGAATTGTATTATTAGATTGAAATATTCCAACTTTCTCAACTTCTCGGAGCTACATGATAACAGCTTCTTCTAATCATCACTCCTGTCCTAAATAGATGCACTTTTATTCAAAGGCACAGCTCCGAAAAAAAACCAGCGAATACCGGAATCTGTACATAAAACATGAGCCTTTAAACGATTTTCTATATTTTTTGCTTATTTTTCTCAAAAGTTCAGAGCTTTCTTTCTATCATAGCCTATGATTCTTAGATTATTTCTTAGGTAATTAATTTAGAACTCTCGATGCACTATTTTTTGAAAGTTGTGAAACCGGAAAAATAAACTTTAACTTTTTTGTGAAAAATGAGTAAATGACCATAAAACAAGTCCGAAAGATGTTCTATCCTTCAATATTCGCCGTGCAATTGAGAATTCTGTCAAGGTTATTTTTAACTTTGATAAAATCCTTGCCTTCGCCCACTTTCCAAAAACTTCCCTCTTGAAGTATCACAAGGTTTTTTCCGCTAGGTTCCAACACTCTGTTTCTTATTGTAAGTTTTTTCAGCTGCTAAGTTTTTACATTTATTCAAACTTCTTTTTCGAAATCTTCAGTTTTTTGTTAAACTCGCATAAGCACAATTGTTTTGCAAACAGTGGAAGACTTTTGTTTATCGAATCAGCAAGTTTTTTAAATTGGATTTTTACAGACTGAATGAAAATGTACTTTTTTCCCTCAAACGTATGCTGATGTTTTCGAACTTACCTATGACACCACTACTACAGGTTTTATTTTTAAATCTGTAGCTGCAATATTTTAATCTCTTCAATTTGAGAAAATGTAGTGTTTCAAAACTTTTATAAATTCAGAGAAAACAATTGCAGGCACCGACTCCTGAATTGTTTTGCTCCATTTGTTTTGCTTGTACAGTAATTCAATAGCATAGAAATTAAAACAAAAAACCATATAAATTTTGGGAACATGGAATCGTTTGAAAAATTGAACCAAATTTTTAGTAACCTGGAATTTTAAATGGGAAATTTTTTGGATTTATTTAATGTGCATTTATAGGAGGAGAGAAACAATATACAATTTCTTGAGATTTCGTTCATATAAATGTGAGCCTTTCGAGGAGTTGCACTTGTGGGCCCACTGCTTGAAGTGCCGCGACGCTTCCAGCTGAGCGTGGCGGAAGAGATTACTGTACACTGTCACGTCAGAATGCCCAAAAAAATATACCTTGTCTCTCTTTAACATATTTTTTTCAGTCTCACAACTTTCAAAAAATCATTTTATTGGTAGTTCCAAACTATTGGTTTCCATTTTTGTGAATCATTTTTTCTGAAAATCAACGAATCCCCAAAACTTTCATATTTCCAATTTTCGATTTCTATGATTTCTGAACAGCTGAAACGTTTTCTAGCCCTCGTCATTCACTCCTCTGCGCTCTCTCCATCTCCCTAACCTTTGCTCACGATTCTCAGAACTCCATTCTCCTACCTTCTGATCAATCATCTCCCCTTGAGATGAGTCAATCTGTATAAAATTCACAAAATTTATAGTATCCTAATCTGTCTATCTTATTCTCCTTGAATACATAAATTTGTGGTGTATCCCTGTCTGAAAAAGTGGGCGGAGTCCGTATGTGCCACTCGGTGCCATGGGAAACTGACTGAAAACATAAGGAGAGAGGAAAAAGAAACGATAGGAAAATTCTGGAATCCATAGAGGGGGCTAGAAGCGAGTCAGTGTGTGTATGTATTCTGGAAATTTCGATTTCTTTGCTGATTTCACTTAGCGAGTCCAACTGAATTTTCTTTTGAATGAAAGAAAAATACGATTTTTACCGTTCCACTAAATCTAAATGATGCTTAGTACGAGTTAGACTTTGATCATACTTTCAGTTATGACTTTATGCACACTTTAAGCTTAATTATCTCGTTTCCCTCTAACATTTTTGTCCCATTCAAATGTCTCATATCTCTTACAGAGATTGAGCTCAAAATGCACATACAAGGAAGTATTAAGAGTTTCATGATAATTCAAGATTTAAAAAAATATACTGATTCAGCAAACTCATATTTTGGCAAAGCTATCATTTCAAACGATTGCTGAAAATCTACAAAAACTATTACATAACAAAACTACGTTTTTTATAGTTTTTTAAGCATCAAAGAACGGTTTAGAGCGTCATCTTTTTTGTAGTTCGACTGGCGAGGACTACCTCATTCACTATAGTAAGGTTTCCGAAACGATCCATATACTGCCCCTACAAATCCTGTTTCTTCACAAACGTTTCAGTTTTCCAGTTTTCCATTATATCAATCATACATGGCTCACATTGGTGGCTAAAATTAAAAAAAACTCCGTAAATTTGCAAGCAAGAGTTTTGTAAAAAAGTACGGTAAGATGATGATTTCCCTGAAAATTCGCATTTTATGCACTTCCTAATATAACATCATTTCTCTCCTAAATCAAAATTATCTTCTGAAATTCTGTTTTCGAGCAAAAAAATGTTTTTTTGCCGATCAGTTTGCCGAACTGGCATCCACCTCTTTCCACCAATCAACTCATATATGACATCAATGGATCGATATCATTTTTAGTTTGATACATTCTTTGCTCCAAGTTTGCACTTTTCCGATCGAGTTTATGATTTTTCCTTTCACTCTTACCTCTTACAAGAAAGACCGATCGCAAGATATAAATATTAATAAATATTAATCGCATCATATTCACAATGTTTTGAAACAGTGCAGAATTTCATGCTAAAAACTTTGCTTGTGCCCTGTGATTAAACAAATATATTTCGCTGTTTTGTTGATGTTATCCTAAATTTATCTCGGGTTCTGTAAAAAATATCGAGTAGCCTTTCTGATACCTCTCCCAGAAACCGAGATAAATTTAGACACATTTTACCACGAAAACTATCCTATGTTACCTTTTATTTCCCTAAACCTCTTAGAAACTGTAATCCCTAACCTTGACACAATTTTTTCCAGACTCACAACACAAACATGGGTGCCGGAGGTTCTCGAAACAAAACGGAACCACGTGGCGAGGGTGTCAAACTCGCGTTCGATCCCGACGAGAAATGGTCGAATTTGTATCGAGAACGAGAGAAGAATCACTTGTACAAGTGGGTTGGTGTCAGGAAAGGTGAGACCTTTGTCTTGCGATACAACTAACTTTCCGGATTTTTTGCTGATTACATGGAAACTGGAGAACAGAAAATATTATTTTGGGGTTTCAATTTTTCAAATACCAGGTTTTCTAGCATTTTGGGAAAAAAAAGAAACTCTCGGATTGGGTTGTTTATTGTCGTTGTGATTTTAAAGTGACCGCTTAGCTCAGCTAGACCGCATAGCTCCTCTTTTGTCTATTGTAGCCCCTGAGCTAGCGAACACAATATTAACCAGTAACACAAGCTACGCGGTCCCAAACTGTACCATGTCCAATTGCCTCCCCTTAGACCAGGACCGATTGCCAATAGCATGAGCCACTGCCCTTGTTTTAACATTTTCACTTGAAACATAACTGACAACTTTAATTGGACTCATGCTTGAAAGTCACTTCAAACATCCGTCATAAAACAGAAAAAAGTTTTGGATGTTTTTTCTCACCTAGATTTTTCAAAAATAATTTAAACATTTCGTTCCAGGCGGAGAACTTATCAACATTTACGAAAGAGATGGAGAGGAAGGAGTTTTGAAGTTCGCCGAGGAAAAATTGCTAACGATTCTTTATGAAGAAGGAAATACGCCAAAATTAGTCTCTTACAGTGACTACATCAAGTGGAAGAAGGGGGTGGTAAGTGGCGGGAAAAATCTCGGTTTCACAAGTTTTTATAAATTTATCAGGGAAGTTATATTGGCAATTATTCATTAATCATATGAAGAAAGAAACTCTGAATGTCAATATTCGTACAAAATTAATCACCCTATTGGCGTACCGTATCAAGGTCTAAGCGATGGTACTGATGTTCACAGAGTTCCACTTGAGATTGTTGCAAAATTCATTTGAAAACATTCTCAACAAAGCAGCTCAATATCGCTACTAAAATTCACCAAAACAAATAAAGTATCTCCAAACATTCCAATTAACAATTTACCATCTGTATAGAGCTTATGAAATCGAGAAAAAATTGTTAGAAATTTTTAATAGAAAGCAAGGAAGACTAGAACAGAGACGGGTCTAGTAATATGGTACATAACTGGCCAAAATTTAAGTGGAAAATAGCCAACTTCGGATGCTTCAAAAAACACTGTAGTATGAGCCTGAAAATTTTGAAGCATACTAAACAAAAATGGAGTTTTAATTTTGTAATTGACAAACAAATTTTTTTGACTGATTCATCCAAACGAGATATACCAATTTATACCAACCAGACCCATCAGCATGTTTTTTAAATATTATCTCAAAATGTTCTTGAACTGTGTGAATCCGAAAACACTACTTCTTTCGCAATATGCACAGTTTCAAAAACTTGATCTAAATACAGATTCATAAAGTACAAGAATGGCACGAATAAACTTATTTTGTAGTTGACACTTTGTATTAATTCATCCAAATGACATATACCGCTTTAACCCAACCATGCTCATCATCATGAAGTCATAGATGAACTCCAATGACAGTAATTTGCAGCTTTCGAGAGCATCCGAGTTCATTATTAACGATCAGCAAACTAGAATCAATTCTGCTTCGTTCATGACTCGATTTACAACAAAACTGAAACTGCATTCTTTGATTTTACAGAACGTTCAACTCGGTCTCAGCGAAGAATCCGTCGACATGCAACAGTCTCGTTTCAAGGAACACTACGCCTTGTGGAAACTCAACAAAAGAGGTGTCGATGGAGAGAATCTGATTCATTTGTTGCTCAACAGGTGAGAGAGATCAAAACGATCAGAAGATCAAGAATCATGTTCCCACGGAGCTGTTTTTTAGAGAACAACAAGTGTGCTATGAGATTGCTAGGATACTGCTGAAGAGATTTCCAGGGATGTCGAATGACATTTATTTGGGTGACGAACAGTTTGGTGAGTTGGGATTTGTGGGTACTGTAGAAAACGGGGAACATGGGAACGGTGTTCACACATCTCTTCATGATACTGTACCTCATCAGGGAGTTCATTCAAGGTTATGTCGAAGGCGCGCCAGAGGCGCAGCAAACAGGCTGGTTCTTATTTCTTGTCCCAAAACTTTTAGGTTTTTATGGGTCAAAAGTAATTGTTAGGAATGAAGCTCTAGGCAGTCTAACATCAACACAACCAACACATTTTAATTATCTCTGTTTAATACAGCAGTAAACCTAATCTATTCAGGCCAATCCGCTCTCCACTTGGCCATCGTTCACGATGACTATGAAACTGTCAGTCTTCTTCTGAACAACAAAGCTGATGTCAATGCACGTGCCTGTGGAAACTTCTTCTTACCCGAAGACTACAAACTGACCAATAAAATCACCGACTATCAGGGATATGCCTACTATGGAGAGTATCCGTTAGCGTTTGCTGCTTGCTTCGGTAACAAGGACATTTATGATTTGTTGATCCAGTTTGGAGCCAATCCAAATCTTCAAGATTCCTTTGGAAATACAATTCTGCATATGTGTGTCATCAATTATAGTAGTGTGAGTTTTCGCGTTTCATAATGTCTGTTTGTAACTAATATAGGCACCTTCTAATAATACTATAATAGGCTCTTCTAATACAGGTCCCTAATATTATATTTCCAGTCCATGTACTCCTATGCTGTCCGTCATTGGGCGAAACCCGCCGATCCCCACGTTGTCAATCATGCTGGATTCACACCATTGACCTTGGCCACCAAGTTGGGTCGCAAACATATTTTCGAGGAAATGCTGGAGATTATGAAAGTGGAGTTCTGGAGATTCTCGGATATGACATGTTCGGCATACCCGTTGAACACTTTGGACACAATTCAGCCAGACGGGTCGACAAGTGAGTTTAAGGAAAAGTTGACGTGGTATCATCGCAAGATATAACTTCTAACACTTCATACTATTATGAAACTGCGAAACATATTTTTCCAGGAGGTTCAGATTTTTTAGAACCCTTCCTTAATGTCGGAGGCAAGATCTTGCTGCGTTCGCGTAGCTCAGCCGGTAGCGGCTCGGCACACTTAATATTTAGCTCACAAATTCAATTCATCGAGGCGCCTTTAAATGTTGACCAGCGTATTATAACTTCAGATTATGACTCCGCCCTAATGACAGTAATCAACGGGTCAACACCAGAACATTTGGACATGATTGGAAGTGAAGTTATTCAGAGATTGTTGGCTGATAAGTGGAAGGCATTTGCGCAGGTAAACAGTACTATTTTTGGTTTAAATCAAATGATGAATAAAACAAGAGGCTTTTTCACAACATTTAGAAACAGTAACAGTTATTATTGAAAATAGTATGCATGATATCGCAATGTTTGAAGGAGGCGAAACTGAAGATTTTTCGGATCACTCTTGTGTTTTCGTCGTACGGCCACTAGACCTTGCGCCACCGTATCTCAGCTGGTAGCGGCGCGGTACCTACAGCGTTATGTCCATTATCTCAACTCCTCGAGAGGCTTACATGATTAAAACTTTGAGGAAAATTTTTTTTAACTATGAAAAAGTCAAATCTGAAATTTAATTACAGCGAAAACTGATTGAACGTCTCGTTCTTCTAATCTTCCAACTCATCACCCTATCAATTGTCGTCTATATCCGTCCAACAGAATTGCCCCGCTTGTATATGGACAAGCCCCTATGGGATGATTGGGTATGTTTTGGTCCAAAACTAAACTAATAATTTTTGATAAAAAACTTCCAGATCCGCACAATTTGTGAAATTCTAACAATTTTAAACTGTCTATTCTTCATTGGTGTTCAACAATTTGGGGAGATTCAGACACAAGGAATGCGAGGCTATTTGAGAAATTTGGTGAGAGAAATTTTTGATACCATTTATCTCGGTTCATGTTAGAGAGTAAAAAGTAAACAACTGATCAAATATTCATCAGAATGCTAGAAACATTTTATCAGTTGGCTACTTTTTTATATCTCTAACAGAAAATGAGATAAATTAGGGTATCTGATAATAAATAAATAAAAAAATAACGAATTACAGAGGACTCTTCCAATTCAGGTTGTTAGGCCACGTAGAAAATAAGAGGATTCTGAAACATTGAAATTTTTTGCAATTCGCGGGTTTTTTGAAAAAAAATATTCTATATTTTTAGAATTTATATTTTTCGAACAAAGTTCATCGTAAAGCGTACTTGAAAAATATCGAAAAATTTCTGTTACCGAATTCCAAAAAATGTGTGACTAATATCTGTAAAACGATGTTGTCATTTTTGAAGTTGGTAATGTTTTGTTCTTGTGAATACTCTAAACTGCTCGAGTTAAAATTATTTTCCAATATCAAATTTGATATTTACCACCAGTGTTCTAATAGAATGATCCCTTTATTTTCAACTTGAAGCAAATTTATCTCGGTTTCTGTGAAAGATATCAAAAAGTAGTCCACTGATAAAATATTGATCAAAATCTCAGAAATATTTTGTCAGTTGAACACTTTTTGAAGTCTCCCACAAGAAATGAGATAAATTAGGGTATTCCAGTTTTTAAAATACGGGTGGTTAGACCATTTCGAAAATCTGAGGATTCTGAAACTTTGGAATTTTTTCAACTTATGGTTATCAAAAAAATTTTATATTGTATTTATGTTTAAAAATCAAAATAGAGCGCGTTTGCTGAAAATTTTCGAAAAGTTTTCTGTTACCAAAGGGTGTGTATAAACTGAAAAAATGATGCTTTCATATGCGAAGTTATTTAATGAAATTTTTTCGCCATTTCAAAATAGTCATTTTTATTCACAATCCACTCACTTTTATACTTGAGTGTCTATATTTCCAGAAAACCGCACCTGCAAAAGCCGTCTTCTGTATCGCTAATCTCTCCCTCCTCCTCTGTATTCCATTCCGCCTACTTCGAAAACACGAAATCGAAGAAGCCCTTTTCGTTTTCGCACTTCCCGGTTCCTGGATCTTCCTGTTGTTCTTCGCACGTTCTGCTAAGCTCACTGGACCCTTCGTACAAATGATCTACAGTATGATTGCCGGAGATATGATTCGGTTCGCGATTATTTCGGCGATCTTTCTCGTTTCGTTCTCGCAAGGTGAGTTGGATTTGGATGCGTAAGGCTTTACGGTGCTTATGTTATTTTTTGAGCTACACGGTTGGGTCAAAAATTGTTTTTATTTATGTTCCGTTGCAAAACAGTGTTATTTAAAAAATGGGTTAATTAATTTCATTTTACTCAATATATCAAGTATTCAGTGTTTCAGTTCCTTCAAAAAAGTAGGGTGCTGTCTACAGATTAATTATATTAGCTGAAAAATTTAAGAAGTGTTGTAAAAAGAAATGCGTTATTTGAATTTATTTTTAAGATAGTTTCAAGTAAGAGTTTTTTACAGTATCTAGGTTGTAACAACTTGGTATTGAAAAACTGCTACAATTGAAAAAATCGTTTTGTTGAATTTTTTCTTAACTTCCTAGTGAAACACAATATAATTCATTCTGCTTCACACAACCAACAATTGGCCACTACTCGATAAAATAGTTTGATGAGTCTGCAGGTCTATTCGAAAATGAAGAATTCCACAAATCGTCGATTTTTTTCGTTTTCTGTTTTTGATGAGATATTGATACAGTGATTTTTTTATTAAACTTTGACTCAATCACAATCGGGAAAAACTGATTTTGTGTTCAAATAGATGAACTAATCAACTTCAAGACACTGTCAAAGTTGTATGTCTCACACTGTACAATTAACATTTTTCACTTGGCTATGGTATCCGTTTTGTCATATGTCGGCAAGTGGCAACGGATAAAAATTGGAAAATTTTCGTTAGGAAAGTGTCCAATTATGTTCCGTTTCAAAACAGTCTTATTCATACAATTGGTTGATTAACTTTGTTTATTGTTACGAACGTCTCAGATATTCCGTGTTTCATTGTCTTCGTAAAAATTGGCTGAAGCAGAACATATATTGAATCTGATATTGATTGGTATTTTATTGTATAGTTTAATTATGGTGAAAAATTAACGTCTTCGAAAAATTAGGAAATATTGAAACAAAAAGATTTTTTGAAACTTCACTGAGATTCGATGTGGATAGATCAAAATTAGAGAAGATTTTTTTGTGAGAAAATATTATATGAACACCCCAATAACAAAGGAAATAATCAACCTTAATCACTTGTCAGTAAAACTGAAAAAAAGAATTGTTTAATTTTTTGCATTGATGATATGCATTTTTATATGATGGAGTACAGAGATCGGTGTTTACACCTTTCACTTGACTACCCGTTTTGTCATATACGACCGCGTAGCTGAGCTTGTAGATAAATTTTATGTTTCTAAGTTTCTATATCCCTGACTACGACATTTCACCACATTTGTCCTACATATATGATCGGTTCCTACATAATCCTAATTTTTCCAGTATTCTACTTTGTCGGAAAAGACATGGATGCCAAACAAAAACTCGAAGACACCAATCCCCATGCTTGCCGTATTTCTGGATACACAATCTACACATACAACACGTTCCCAGAGACTTTCATCACTCTTTTCCGTGCCTCAATGGGTGGATATGATGTGGGTTGACTTTTTTTTTTGGTTTTGAAGATTTTTTTTACTCATCTAGAGATTTCAGTATTGATAAAATGAAATTGATTGCTTCTGTTACATCTGTAAAACAGAAAAAAATTTCAGTACGAAGAATTCTCATGTGCCAACTATCAAGCCCTTACCAAGACTCTTTTCGTACTGTATATGTTCGTCATGCCAATTATGATGATCAACATTCTCATCGCTATGATGGGTAACACCTACACAACAGTCATTGCACAGGCCGAGAAGGCATGGAGACAACAGTATGCTCAGATTGTGATGGTTTTGGAGAGATCGGTTGGAAAGGAACGGTTAGCTGCGAGTCAGTTGGAATACAGTATTCGATTGGATCAGGTTAGTTGGGAAAGAAGGATTACGGTTTCGGGAACTCGGTAAATTTCGTTCTTTTTTATTACTTCCGTTCTATCTTGTCTACATACAACATATTGGATTTGAAGCCTACAATTCTCAAAAACCCTCTGAAGCTAGAGGAAAATCTTCGGAGCTCTTTTTGAAACGTGTGGATACATTGTTGCGTATGGTGTACAATGATGGAATTTTACACAGTTCACTTCCTCATGCAGTTTACCGCGTAGCTAGCTCAACCGGTAGTGGTGTGGCACCTTCATTATTTTCCCCATAAGCTCAATTCCTCGAATGTTTCTTTTAACAGGTTTCAAGAGAATTCTAGTTTATAATCTTGGTTGTTTTTTATTGACAAACGACGAATTAATAAGAATACCAAATTCCTATTTTCTAACAGTAAATCAAAACGGGAAAAATTAATAATGCTTCATTAGAAGCTTGAAGTTAGGCTTGAATGTATGAAAGTCAGTGGAACTTGTATTTTGAATTAAAACACAAAATTCGAAATCTTTATCAGGATTGTATGGAACTCCGTTTTTACAGAAGCTCTGTTGTCCATTTTTTTTTGGAATCATGAAATTCTAAGAGAGTCTCACTTTTAAATATGTTTTTAAAAAACGAAAATAACAAATCTAGACAATCACATAATCTATGGCCGCTCCTAACTTGTTTAACCACTGTCAAACATTAAAAAATATATTCCATTGTTTTCATCAACGAAGCTGCTTGAAACAAACTATTCCTTGTGAGCAAATTGAAACAGAATTAATGTAAAAAATTGTCACTTTTTGTCATTCTTTTTATTTTGGTTTTAAGTTAAAACTTTCAACTGGATTCAATTTTGTTTCTAATAGACGATGGATTTCCATTAATAGACGATGGATTTCCATCGAACTAAAATCAGGGCTAACACGAGCAAAAGTTTCGTAACCGATAAACGAAAAATTGCCTAAATTTGATTCATGTTTCATGGAGTTTTCATAAAGTTAAAAAGTTCAAATCTATCGATAAGTACACAATTGATAGTACCCTAGTCGAATTTTGGTAAAATTTGCCCGAAGCTGTTGAGCAAGTCAAATTGAAGTGGAAAAAATAATCGTTAGTTGGTTTTAAAATACTATGAATCTCAGGTTTTGTTCTAAATTATCAAAAACAATTTAAAACTCAACATATCGTACTCTGCGCAGTCTATTCAGAATTTCTTTTGTCTACTTTTTTGAAACATTTTCGAGTGATATGTCTCTTAAATCTAGTTTGATAAATGCATGGAATAATAGTAAACCTAATACACATAATATATTTTCTGTTAAAGTTGCCACCATAGAAAACGCACATTAAAGATCGACTTTCTGAAGCATCTAAAGCTGTAGAGCTGAAAAATAATTTTTTAATTTTTCAAAAACTTTTTACCGTTTTTTTTACTTTAGGGCTCCAGTTGAAACTTTAAACTAAAGTCAATTATGTTTCTGTGTTAAAATGACAATGAATTTTTACTGAATCAAAATCAGTACTTACATAAGTCAAACATTCCTAAACCAAAGTTTTATGTTTCATGGAGCTTTCATAAAACTACTTATTTAAAAACTATCGATGGAACCACATTACATGAATCTTGTAACTCCCCCTAGTCGAATTTCGTTAACATTTGCTGCAAGTCTATTTTTAAGTGTTATTAAATATAAAAACTAAAAAAAAAACCTTCATTACAACACATTGAATCAATAAAAAGTTATTTCCACTTTGACTACAATTATCTAGACTTCTAAAAAAGATATCGAAAAGTTGTCAACTAATAAAATTTGTAGAACTTCCTCATAAATATTTTATTAGTTGACAATTTTTTGATATCTATAACAGGAACGAAGGCAGTCCAAGTCAAAGAGGAATCTTTTATAAAACGACTTTCAAATTTTCCATTTTCATAACCGTATTCTTTCAGGAAGGATCATCTGGAATGGAAGTCCGTGGGCTTATGGTCATCAAACAAACCAAAAAGACACGTGCTCGTCAACGGAAACAAGCAATTTACAACTGGAAAACAATCGGAAGAAAAGTGATCCACACAATTGACAAAGTGGGAACCGAACAGGCGGTTCTCCTGCTACACGGACATGATCGTTTGGATAGAGTTTATGAAGATCATGTTCAGCCTGAAAAAGTACCTTCTCGATCAAGAACACCTACTAGAATTGGAACTAGTCTTCACGCTTCAAAACGTCTCAAAACCACTATGGTTGTGGGCGCCGCGGCGGCCGCCGCTAATCATGAGGTAAGAGAGAGTTAGAGAAAACCAGACACTACTTGGTTGCAAGTTGTGCGTGCGAATCACCAGTGGCCGGATGGTCTAGAGGTATGATTCTCGCTTCGGGTGCGAGAGGTCCCGGGTTCGATTCCCGGTTCGGCCCAAACTTTTTTTGTTTTTTTTTGTTTTTTCTTAATTCCTAGCATTAAATTTTGTATTTCTAGGTTCGAACTGATGACGCTGTCAACAGTATGCTCCTTTCTGCACCACCAAGTCTGTCTGGGGAGGGAGGAACGATGGATTGGCAACCATCTATTACACCGGTTGAGGAGCGAAGTGAATCGAAGACTAATTCTTCGCAAGAAAGATCTGAAGCATCAAGTCCGATGATTGTGATTCCACAGGTTCTGAAAGCACCGGTTAAAGTTGATTCCCCGATTCGTGTGCAGGAATATGTGAGTTTTTTTTTTAATGGAAGTGGAGTGAAATTATTTAGGGGACTTGAAAATAAGATCTTCTAATTCAAAAAAAAATGTGTTTCGAAATTATGATTTGCAAAATAAGTTTTCTTCAGAACCGATTAACGTTTTGAAAACACTTTTAAAAATCTATTTTTTTAACTTATCGTATCTCCTCTAATACCCCACCAATGCCGTCAACTTTCTACTCAATTATCTCGATTCCGGTGAGAGATGTAAAAAATGTGTCAACTGATAAACTGTAGGTTATATTATTATGAAAAATTTATCATTTGGCAAATTTTTTGTTATAATTCACAGGAATCGAGATAATCGAGCTTAAAGTTAAAGATTTGGGTCGGCATCAATTAGAAGAAATAAGGTAATAAAATATCGTAAAGAACGGGTACGGACAAAAAAAATGTAATGTTTCAATTAGTCATTTTGATACCAATACTTTCTAGCTTTATCAATTGTTCGCTTTTGCAGCAAGTTAAAAATCAAATTTCCAGAGCCGAACCGTCCGTGTCCGTGGAGCCGACACAATTCCATCCATTGAACTTCCGAACATCCCTAGCAAGTCAACTGCGACAACACCACCCCATCGTGCAGTTTCTCCACGTCTTCGGGCGGATATGTTCAGAAGACATCCGCATACATCGTCGTTCGATGCTGCCGCACCACCGGCACCTCCAAAAGAGGAATAATTGTTTTATCTACTTTTTAAAAAGTAGATCAAAGCAAAAATTGTCTTGAAATCAAAAATTTTTCTCCGAGATTCTTACGGATACTTTCTTCGGTCTCACACAATCAATTTTTCGTTTATTTTTTTTCTTTTCATCTGAAATACCTTGAAAATCATTAACCTATCTTTGTTTTTCCCGCTTAATAAACATCCGTTTAAATAAATCTTCATGAAATCAAAACACATCAAAAAAGTCCAAATCAAGTTCTCTGAATAGGAAATTGGACTTTTCGCCTCTTTTCCGAGAGGAGAGAATAGCAAATCTCAAAAATAAGATCTCTACGATAGAAGTACAAACAGGCAGAAAAAATATAAAATCACATTGTCGGATCTTTATGTCATGAACGCATGGCTATTCTTCTTGTTCAGGGTGTGGCTAGAGAAGTTTCATTTTTCCTGGTTCCATTTTTCGTTTTTTTTTCTCGATTTCTGATGTTTCATTATTCTCTGACATGTCTGGTGGGATTGAGGTATTTTTCCATGTTTCATTACTTTGTCATAATTGGAGTTTTTAGAAATTCTAGAATCGGAAAATGATTCATGGGTTTTCTATCAAATTATAATTTTTTTTCGAGAAAAATTGGATTCAAATCTTTTTCTGTTAAAGATTCTCTTTTTTGAGTAAATATCGAGACAGTTATGATCTGGAACATAGTAAATCGACTTTCAAATTTTCACAGTTTCTGAACATTCACAATTCGCAATTATTCAATTCAGCATTTTTAAGCTAATTTCTCAATCTAATTTTTCCTTGTTTCATTTTTTTATGTTTTCTGACACGCTTCGTCAAATTGGGTTAAAGTCTTTTTTAATGTTTCATTAGTTCGCCACTTTTGGAAGTTTCGAAAATTATAACAGTGTGATAGGATTAATGATTTTCCTATCAAATTTGATAGTTTCAAAAAAATGTAAATTCATTTTTTCCCGTTACACATACTCTTTTTTTTTGAAAATCTTTGTAGAAAAAATAGTCATTATTTTATGAATGGATTCAATCGAAACAGATTCTGAAGACTTAACAATAATTCAATTCAGCATGTTTTTAAGCAAATTTCTCGATCTTGTTTTTCCTTGTTTCATTTTTCATTTTCTGATACATTTGTTCGGAATGAGTGTTGTTTTTTTTCATGTTTCAATAGTTTGTCATTGTTGGAAGTTCTAGAAATTATTACAATAAGGATTTATGAAATTTTTAAAAAATTAGTTGTTTCCAAAAAAATTGAGATTAAATCTTTCTGTTGCATATCCTCTTTTTCAGGAAATATTCAGAAAGTTATGATAAGTCGGATTTCGAATTTCCACAGTTTCTGAACATTCACAATAATCCGATACAGCAATTATTATTTATTTTTTATTTTTCTAGATTTCTGATTTTTCCCTGTTTCATTTTTCGTTTTTTGATTTTTTTTTCTGTTACATATCCTCTTCTTTCAGTGGATCTTGGTGAAGAAAATATTCTGTATTGTATGTTTACAACTTCTGAACATTCACAATAATCCATTTCGGCAGTTTTTAAATTACATTATTTTCGAAAAACTCCCACAAAAGCATACTTGTAAAATTCCGGGCCGGCACGCCAAAGCCCGGGCCCGGGCAAGGGCCGGGACTGAAAAAAAAAACTGAAAACTGGTCGGACCAAATTTTCGAGGCCCGGGCCCGGCCCGGAAGGCCCTGTATAAAAAATCCTGTATTTTTTGAGCTCTCAATATAATTTTCTCCATTTTTTTTTGTTTTTTTGGATTGTTTGTCTGTTTGATCAAAAAAGATCGAAAAAACTCAAAAAAATTTTTAGATCGAAAAATATCACATAAGGGCCCCCCTTATGTGCTTTTTGAATTTTTCAAACCTTGTGAAATGATGATGATGGGTCCGCCGGGCCTCCAAAATTTAGAAAAAAGCCCGGCCCAGTCAGTTACAAGTATGCACAAAAGGAAAAAATTATTTTGGATCGAATTTTTTCTCCATCTCTTTATTTTTCCCATTTCCTTATTCTTGTCCAACAGATTTAACCAGATTGAGTTTTTTTTCGTGTTTCATTAAGTTAGAATTACTGGAAATCTTGGAAATCATACCAATCAGACATGAGCGGAATTCCTTATTCCTTATTCCGGATTTTAAATTTTTCATTCCTTATTCCTTATTCCTTATTCCGGATTTTAAAATTGTTATTCCTTATTTCTGATTTTTAAATTTCATTCCTTCTTCCTTATTCCTTATTCCGGATTTTCAAAATTTTTATTCCGCTCATGTCTGATACCAATGTGAAAAGTTAATTTCTTTCTATCAAACAAAATTTCTTCTGTAATACATTCATCCTCTTCTTTTCACTAAATTTTGGCGGAGAAAATAGTTCGTCCAGTACTCTCCCAATTTCTAAAACTATTTCGATAATCCCATCCAGTAATTTTTAATCAAAAATGTTGACGAACTTCTATAAATCGGTTTTTCCTTTTTTGTTTTCTGACATATCTGGTCGGATTGAGTTTAAGTTTTTTTTTGCTACTGATTTTGCTATTAGTGGAAATTTTGGAAATCATAACAGTTTGAAAATAGAAGCAGATTTTTATATTTCAAGTTTCATTCTATATGTAGTATGATGAGAACTGCTGGAATCTTTTTTCGGAAATTTACATCTTCCATTTTTACGTGACGATTTCTTTGCAGATTTAATCTCAAATCTAGCAAAATGAACAAGGAAAATTTGAATTGCATTCTTTCAATATTAGAATTCAGAATTTTGAGAAAACGTGCTAAAATTTGCATCGAAAATGACTATTTAAATATGGAAGCTGCTAAATCGCTCCATGTTTTAAAATACTCGCAAATTTGGATGGTTTCTCTGAAATTATATTTTTGCAAAAATAATTGAGACCAATTTTTTCTGTAAAAGTGTCGCGGCAGCAGAGGTTCTACTGAACAACCTCAAATTCGATAACACTAGAGCACATCTAGAATGACACAAATTGTCATAAACACAATTCTGCAACTATTTACGCTACATATTTGGCGTGATCACTTCTCTTATCACTATATCAGATCTGGAGCATAATCGTGGATATGCCGAGGAGATGCTATAAAAGGATTGAGAATCGCCAGTATGATGAGACATCTGAGACTTCTACCAAAGGATCTCCTCTACAATGGACTCACTGATGCCGGATCCCAACTGCTGACGCCCATGGACAAAGCCAAACCCGATGCCACACTTCTTGAAGCTGCAACCTCCTAATGGTGGACAACGGATGGTGCACACCCCTTTTCTCCAAATCAATGGAAACCTACAGACGCTGGATCGGAACTACGCCAACTCCAAATGCTGATGCCGGGCAGATCCATAATCAGAGGTCTAACCCAGTTAAATAAATAGTTGTTGAATACTTAATGTTCCTATCCTTGTACTTTCGCTCCGACACAGGCTCACCACCTAAGTGTCGGAACAAACAGAGCTTCTCTATTTCAGTAAATTTAGGCAAATAGAATAGTCGTTTGAGCATTCAAAATTTTGAAAATTCACAGTAATCCAATCTAGCAATTTCTAACTTTTTTTTTCGATTTCTCGATTTCTGATTTTTCCTTTTTTTTGTTTTGTTTTCTGAAATTTGGTCAGATCGAGTTTAATTTTTTTGCCTGTTTCATTAGTTTGCCATTAATAGATATTTTGGAAACACAATGATTTGCAACCTCGTATTTTTGTAAAAATGTAATAGGAAATTTTTAGTTTATCCTCTTCTTCACATATGTTGAAAAACAATTTTTGCAATTTTCAGTATCCGAATATGATTTCACAACTAGCCAAACCTAAAAGATAAATTTCCAAATACCGTATTTCCTCTAATAGAAGCCCATGGACTTCTATTTTTTAACCTCTTTCTCAGGGTGGGCTTCTATTAGAGGTGGGCTTCTATTTTTCAATGATTAATTTTCAAAAAAATTTGTTCAAAAAATCAGAAATTTGACAATTCGGAAGTTAAGAATTCTGAAATTTGGTTTTTTTTTTAATTCGAAGCTTTCTTTCTGCAATTCTAAACTCCAAATTTTCGAGTTTATGAAATTCTGAGATTCCAGAATCTCAGATGTCAATATGGAATTCTGTAGATCAGAAATTGAGAAATTCAAAAATTAAGAAAAGCCCATGGGCTTCTATTTTCGGAAGCACCTCGCGGGGTGGGCTTATATTAGAGGAAATACGGTAGCTAGGAAAGTTTCAATTACAGCCTTGCAATATTGTTATTCTGAATTTTGATTAAATGTAAAAGCTGGGATCTGAAGAACTTTTTAAAATAAATAAAAAAACTTCATAAATCAAGTTTCAGTACATGCATATATCATGAGTTGTTCATTAAACATGTATAAGGAATTCAATAATATTGAAATGAATTGCCAAAAAAATTATTTCCAAAGTTTCTGAACTTTTTTCAAACCCAATTCGGCATTTTTTAGTCATTAAGCCATCGAAATACTCCAGAACTGCGAAATTGAATTGAAAAAGAAATTACTTTGGATCATTCGTCGATAATTATTGAAGCGTTATCTTGAAAACCCAACATCTAAAACTCATTTCGCAAAACAGAAAAAAAAGTTGAAAATTTTCTGAAATTCCTTTTTTTCATGCCTCAAAAACGGAATCATGATTTTAAAGCTTTTTGGTTCACGATTTTTCGAATTCTTCCGTCCGTTGCACTATTTCATCCGCATATCTCAAAAATTTAATAGCTTTTTGGAACAGCAAAAATATTTGCATTCTCATAATTTAATAATTAATACTGGACATTAGTTTTCACATTCATTTATATCCATTTTTCCACATACACCCAAATGTTCCTCCTTCTCTCTGCTTTCCTCTTTTCCTCTCTATTTTTCCTCCCCTTTTTCTATCCCATTCTCTCGTTGCTAGGTGAAATATTCCACATTTCCCCCGCTTTCCTCCTCTCCGTTTTGTCATTTTAAGCTCTTTTTGTTCCG